TCGAATTCCCAAATTTCCGAATTCCCAAATTTCCCAATTCCCAAATTTCCAAATTCCCAAATTCCCAAACTCCCAAAGTCCCAAAAGTCCCAAAATTTCTCAATACTCAAAACGCTAAGTCCCAAAGCAACTGCAGTGCGCGACTGCGCCCTCTACAAAATGTCCGCCATCGCAGCGACCGTCCACTGTCCAAGAATTAACAGACTCAATTCAATCGCCAAACCCTAAACATTCATCGAACCAAAAAATTGATAGATGCTTAACAAATGTTTCAGGCTTACGTGGATTACATGCTGACAACAACTCTTCCGCCTCCGTTCAATATTGTTCCAACCTACGTCGGTGTGCAACCAGTGATCGAATATCTGAAAATATGGTGGCGTCCACCGCCAAACAAACGAGCACGCTGGGATATAAATCACTGTTGTTTCATTGTTAGTATACATACCGATGTCAACCCACGAGTTGGTGATCCAAAGTAAAAGCCCACCGTGAACATTTGTAGTTACATTTCGGCAAATGAGAATAATAACTGCTGAATGCAAGTAGCACTTGAGAGACGTTTGCCTGTTTTTCGCCTAATTGGCGACCACGAGAGCCAATATACCGCCGAAAATACGTGTGAGGCCATTTTTCTATTCTGACCAATTGGAGTGGCGCTTCTAAACACCACGCGCCAACTCGTGGGTTGACATCGGTATGTGGGACTGTGGAATTTGGGGCTTGACAGTTTTGGGGTTAACTTTGAAGTTGGAGTTTGGATGTTTGCGTATTCAGAAATGTAGAAATTTGAGCGGATGAAAATTTGAAGTTGGATATTTAGAAAAGTGGAACGGGTTTATGGAAATTTGGAAATTTGGATATTTGGAAGAGTAGAAATTTGGGTTTGTGGAAATTTGAAAACTTGGATAGAAGGGTAGTTTCTGGACAAATTTAGATATTTGGAAGTGTAGAAATTTTTCTCATGGAAATTGCAAAATTTAAATATTTAGAAAGGTAGAAAACCTATATTAGGAATTTAAAAATTTACATATATGATCAATTGGAGTTCTAATTCTTGTAAACATCTGGTTCACGCGCCAACTCATGGGTTGACGTCTGTACACGTGAAATAAATTCGGAGGTCTGACATGTTTGTACTGTACGCGAAATGCTGTCGCCCTCTGCAATATTTCACATTGTACATACGGACTGCGAGAAAGAACATTGAAATGTATGACTTCCTTCGGAGTGCGAAAATGTTCGAAAGGAAGTTCTTATGTTATAGGATACATTTCTTTGAAGATATTTATTTTGAAGTGGATGTACAAATAATAAGAAAACTTAATTAAACTTCATACATATTTACTTTTTGTTTAAATTTTCATTCAGTGAAGTTTGGTTTATTTATGGAGTTTAGGAGAGTTTAATCAAATTAAGAAGCTACATGTATTTTTCTTATTAAAATTCTAGTTTAGTGAAGCTTAATTTATTTGTGGAGGTTAGGAGAGTTTAATCAAATTAAGAAGCTACATGTATTTTTTGTTGAAATTTTAGTCTAGTGAGGGTTGGTTTACTTGTTGACTTTATAAGAAAATTTAAATAAATTAAGAATGCATGTGTATTGAAATGGAACTTAATGTTGAAACGAATTACCAAAATGTCCAAACTAACCAACTAAATGTTAAAAAACTTCCAAACTAAATGTAACAAAACAGAGTTTCCATTTCACCAAATTATTAAATATTAACCTTCAGCGCTCGAAAGTATTTTCCTCTTGTCAGACACCAAACTCAAAAATTTAAAAACCTTGAGCTTGTTATTTAAAAACCTTGCTGAAGGTAAAAGACCTTTTTCTTAAAATTACTATTGCTATATTATTAATATCACTATCGTCTGTTCCACTGAATTCACATAATACAATATAGCATAACAAATAAAAAAATATAGTATAATAAATAAATAATGTAATAATAATACAATGGATTTATTTAAAATTTATTCCAAATTCTATTAAAATTGAACGAGTCTTTCGAGCGCACAAGGTTAAAATTGCATCAAGTCCTCGCGTCCTCAAAATGGCGGCACTGACGCGTCTTTCAGGAAACCACCGAGAAAGAAACGAGCGACGCGTTCGACATGGTAATGGGACAACTGGTGCAACGTTATTTCCGTAAAAAGGAGAAACAAGAAACCGAAAACGAAGTAGAACGACTGACGAAAGAGATCGTCGAGTTAAGAAGCCTTTTAAGAGACGCTTTGACCACCGATTGAGAAAATCGACGTCGGAGATTAAACTTCGTACATTTTCTGATCGATATTCTGTTGAACACGGACGATCGAACAGCTCGAACAAGGACAGCTTCGTCGACGTAGAAACAATAAACACGATGAAACTTGCGAGATTGCGAAAGTTGTCGCAATTAGTTTCTTCAAAGAGACATAACAGATCTGTTTCCTTTTTATCATGTGAATTCAGTAAGATATGACGCAATGAAGGTTGAAATGTAGCTGTTTAAATGGGGAGAAAATGAATTCCTTCTGACCGTCTTATTTAGGTGGATAATTTGAAACGGTTCTTGGAAAGTGGGAAATTAAATACGGATAATTCTGGAGTTTTTGTTAAGACCTTTTTGAAATAAAGTCGAGATGGATTTTATTTGAATTTCTGAATTTTCAAATTTCTAAATTCTCAAGCTTTTAAATTCCGAAGCTTCCAAATTCCCAAGTTTCCAAATCCACAAATTTCCAAATTCCCCAGCTTCCAAATTCCCAAGCTTCCAAATTCCCAAGCTTTTAAATCCCCAAGCTTCCAAATCCCCAAGTTTCCGAATTCCCAAGCTTCCAAATTCCCAAGCTTCCAAATCCCCAAGTTTCCAAATTCCCAAGCTTCCAAATCCCCAAGTTTCCAAATTCCCAAACTTTCAAATTCCCAAGCTTCCAAATCCCCAAGTTTCCAAATTCCCAACCCTCCAATTTCTCAAGCTTCCAAATTCTCAAGTTCCCAAATTCTCAAGCTTCCAAATTCCCAAACCCCAAAAATTCTCAACCCCTCAACCCCTCAACTCGTTAAATTCTCAAGCTCCCAATTACTCAAGCTCCCAAATTCTCAAGCTCCCAAATACTCAAGCTCCCAAATTCTCAAGCTCCCAAATACTCAAGCTCCCAAATTCTCAAGCTCCCCCAAGTTTCTAAATTCCCAAGCTTCCAAATCCCCAAATCCCCAAATCCTCAAATCCCCAAATCCCCAAATCCCCAAATCCCCAAATCCCCAAATCCCCAAATTTGCAAATTCCCAAGTTTCAAAAATTTAGTCAGAAATTTAGAAATGCGAAAATATAAAGGGTTCCATTTTACGAACATGGCGTCGAACTTTTGGCGCAAAACCTCTCAGTATTAGAACGCTAAATTCATTAAATGAAAATAAAATAAATTTTGCAGAGAAAATATTATATAAAATTTTTAATATTTCCAATGTTTCGTATCCTCAATATTTCCAATGTTTCATATTTTCAATATTTCCAACAGTTTCATGCAAAGGACATCATACAGCTTTTATTAAGTCATAAAACAAATTTACAGAGAAAATATTACATAAAATATATTCTCAATATTTCCTATTTTTTCTACGTTTAATAACTCCCATAAAATCACAAGTTTGTGATCAAACAGTATCTACGAAAATAATCTAAAATGTAGGGAATGAAGACAAAATGGCGTTCAAATGAAATTTAAAGCGTCCCTACGGTCCTTGAAAAGTTCGCTACCATGGGAAATTCGAACGAACATGGCGTTTTGTAATTAACTGAAAATTACTTGTTGACTCTTTTGAACCAAAGTTTATAAAACAGTAATATAAAACAATTTAAAATAAATTCTACTAATAAAAGAATTTCAAAAGTACTCTAATAAACTTGTGACTTAAAATAATTTGTACATTTTGTTTTCTAATAAATTTATGACTAAAAATGATTTGTTTATTTTATTTTCTAATAGATGTATGACTTAAAATAATTTGTCCATTTTATTTTCTAATAAATTTATGGCTTAAAATAATTTGTCCATTTTATTTTCTACTAAATGTATGACTTAAAATAATTTGTCCATTTTATTTTCTAATAAATTTATGACTCAAAATAATTTGTCCATTTTATTTTCTAATAAATGTATGACTCAAAATAATTTGTCCATTTTATTTTCTAATAAATTTATGACTTAAAATAATTTGTCCATTTTATTTTCTAATAAATGTATGACTTAGAATGATTTGTCCATTTTATTTTCTAATAAAGTTATAACATAAAATAATTTGTCAATTTAATTTTCTAATAAATGTATAACTCTCAATTGAATAAACTTCCTGTCCACACTAAAACAATAAAAATAAACAACAATAACATCATTTAGCAAAAATTCCTGATTGCCGTCCGTTAATTGGACGTTACATTAACTAACGATAGAGGCAATCGAACCTTCTTCCCGATCCCCCGAGTTCAGCGAAATTTTCTGTCGTCGAACATCGTTTGTCACTCATTTAACGAGCACCACCCCATCTTCCTTCCTCTTTTTCTTTCGCTTGTTGAGCAATCATGTCACTCTATTTTATGAATGTAGTCATCCCGAAAGGAGCAAATCTCTCTGGGGTCGAATATCACCGAGTGGTCTCGGAATCCTGGAGCCACGGAAGGGTGGAGAAGCTAAGGGTGTCGTTCGAGTGCACTTTCTTCGATCGCTGTTTATTTCGTCCAGGAAAATCTGTGATTGGAACTTGGCTCGAGAAATGTCAACGATATCAGAAGGATGGAGGATTCATGTAGGATGAAGTTTAAAAATTGACTTCTTTCTCTTACGAGGAGATTTCTGAAATAAAGTTCAGAATTTAATGATTTCAAATTTCTCAATTTAGAAAATGTGTATTAATAAAGCAACTAAAACTTGATAACTGAAAATGAAAATAAAAATTTCATTAGAACAAGTATATTGTTACATGATTTTTAAAATAAATCAGTAAAATTGTTGTCAGACATGTACATAAAAATAAATGAATAAAAAAAAATACATAAATAACTAAGTAATTATAAGTTTCTACTTTTAATGAATCTTTTTGTGATAAACATTAGAACAAATTTCAAAATTGTATCGTTGAAACAGCGCATTATTTAACATTAATATTAATATGTCATTAATATAATGTAATGTATGTGTAACACGTATTAATATAATTATGTGTAAATACAATTAATATTAATATAATGTAATATATTATTATAATGCAATAAAAATAAATTTTCATTTTTAATGAATCTTCTTATGGTAAACCTTAAAATGAATTTTAAAATTGTATCCTTCAAACAGCACATAATTTAATATGTCATTAATATAATATAACGTATGTATAATATATATTAATATAGTTATGTGTAAATACAATTAATATTAATAATATATTAATATACATTAGTATAATGTAACATAAATGTATTACGAAACTAGTATATTAATGTTATAATTAAATAACATATTAATAATATAAAAAATGTCATCAGAACAATTATACATGCATTCAATAACTCAGAAAATAATCCTGTAAAAAAATTCTTCAAGAAGTATTAAACAGTTAAATAAATAAGAAAGTTTGAAATCCGTCGACTTAATTTTATTTCATACTACTTATCGTCCGCCATTATAAGAAGCAAACGAAGAGTTCCGAAAGTTTCTTTCTTTCGAAAGTCGAATTTTAAGCTCCACGTTCATTTGTTACAAACGAAACTGTTTCCAGCAATTAAGTTTCCAGTCGAAAGAAAACATGGATCGATGCCGTGTAATCGACTGTGAAAACGCGATAAAAATTAAACTGACTATAATAAGAATTGTGTCTGACTATAAAAAGAGGCTTGTAAAAGTTGAAAAAGAGGAATTGTATTGCAGAAAGTGAACATAAGGGTAAACACGTTTCTGCCGATGAATCGATACTCAAACAGAAGTCTCGAGTGCCTTAAATTGCTCTGGCGTCAGCTTTTTTCCCTTGTTTCACCCTGTCGGGCCATCAACATTTAAACAACGAAGTTACTAGCATCGGGAATCGATAGTCAAGGAACACTCTTGTAGATACTGTAATATAAACGGAAGATATGTGACAGTTTACTTGCTTATGTATTTATATTTACTTGTATACAGGGTGTTACCTGTAACACGATTTCTACCACTTGCAGCCACATTACGAAAGAAAGTTTAGAACAATATTTGCAGGGCATGAAGTGCACGATAGATAGTAAAGCAAATTTTCGAAACAGTTCTCTTGGCAAAGTCAAGGTCCTTAGGTTTTTTAAATAGGAACATTTTTTTTATTCATAGCTTTAGAGGACATGGAGAGGAATTCAAAACACATGTTACATGATATTTTTATTAACATATTACTCGATTTACAGAAGTGGAAATGTGAAGTAAAAGACCGGAATATTACGTGATGGAAGGCGTACATTTTGAACATGTAATTAAATAAAGTGTATTTTTCTAACATTCTAGTCGCGTGTTTACATTCAGTAATCTTTTCGGAATCAAATAATGGTTACACTACCAAAGTCAATAGCTAAGTACTTCACATTTCCTCTTCTGTAAATCGAGTAATATGTTAATAAAAATATCATGTAACATGTGTTTTGAATTCCTCTCCATGTCCTCTAAAGCTATGAATAAAAAAAATGTATGTTCCTATTTAAAAACACAAGGTGACCTTGACTTTGCCAAGAGAACAAACTGTTTTCAAAATTTGCTTTACTAATATTTATTGTACACTTCATACCCTGCAAATATTGTTCTATACTTCTTTTCGTAAGGTGGCTGCAAGTGGGAGAAAAATCATGAGTAGCATTACACCCTGTATGCATTTATATCTATTTATTAGTTCATGCATTTATATCTATTTATTTGTTCACGTGTTTATATCTATTTATTTATGAATATTTACTTATAGGTAGGTTTACAATGAACCATCATAAAATTACAGCGAACAATTAGAATTAAAAAAGGTTAGCAACAGGTAGGTTTTGAGGTTATGTTACCATAACCTCAACTGTACATTTCAATTTATTTCCCACAACTACATTCATAAACCTTTGTTAATAATATTAATATATTATAACAAACGTATATTGTTAATATATTATTAACATTAATAACGATTTTTAATAAGATTAAGATTAAATTAATAAGATTTAAATAAATTTAAACTTGATGGATCTAGTCATTTTCTTCGACGATAATTTTCTCAAGTAAAATAGTAAAAGCTTTCCTTCAGAAAAGCTTACGAAGGTTTTCTTCAAGGCATCAAAGGAAAAGTCGTCACAGTGAGATCCTGAAGATGTTACAACGTTCCGAGGGGTTGTTAACCCTGTTATTTACGAGCTTCCTAGTGATACGTTTGCCTCGTATAAGTCCGACTGTCCACTGTGGGGTTGGTTCCTTTCATCCATAAATCGCCATAGAGAAGCTTCGTGTTATGACGACTGAATTAAGCTCCCTTCAGTTGCGCCGTATGAATAGAAACTTGTGAAAGTGGCGTGGTTCGAAGAGGAATCGAGAAGATTTCGTTTCATGCGTCTTTAATATACGTTGCGTGAGATTGAATAGTATTTGTTCGCGTG